CCAAAGTACATGATAGTTCTAGAAGCGTTGCGTCACAGTGATCATGTGACTCGATGACGCAACAATACAAAAGCTGACTGTCATGTTTGTTCAACCTTAAAAACAAGTGTTACGAAGAAATAGCCACCACATTATGAAAAACTGGTACGTATATGTATATTAGCTGATAATAGGTTTGAACGGTACCTTTATACACAATGATTTAGATTTTAGATAATGGGGTTTCTTGCATTGTCTGACAGTGCAGCTGGAATTATCATAACCAAACATATAATATATGAATAAAAATTGATACAGAATATTAAACAAAATTATATTAGTATGTTTTAAGTAATCTTTACTGTTATTTATTTTTTGACTGTATTATTTAAGCTGTATTTTTCTCACGATACCAACTCACCAAGAAAGCCTCTTTTCGTTAACATTCTTTCACAATGCAGTATATTTATTTTTGAACTTGTAAACAGAGCCAATTAGGGCCGGGCGTAACCTAATGGTTAGCGTAAGGAGCTGAAAACCATAAAACCCAAGGTTACAGCCGCGATATGCAGCTGAATACGTCCGCACTTTCACCTCAATGGGCGTTATAACCGTGTCCGTTCGTTATTCAGTTAAGGCTTAAAAGTAGCCATGTAGGTGGCGGATGCTGCTGGTTGGTTACCCCCTCTTTCTCTGGTCAGCAGTTCTAAATTAAAGATGACTGAACCTAAGGAGTCTCTGACCTGGCCGTTTATCCTATGTGTCTAATAAAGTACAATTCTGGTTGAAAATAACAAATAATGAACAAAATGATAAAAGTACAATTAGAATTTATGACATTTCTAGCAGAATCACACGTCAATATTGTCAATCGTGTGCGCAGTTTGACCCATACGCAATCACAAAAGACTGTCTTGATAATTAAAGTTTAGATATTTTAGGGAACGTTAGACATATTTATTTACTCTGTAACAAAGTTGGTTGAGTATAAATGCAAACGTTTAGACCAACGGCAGTGACATATATATCTCTTCTACCTTATAGCGTATCATCAATTACCTTTAAGCAACCATGCATTGTTAATTAATTGAATGTTCCTGCTATAATTTCATTTGCTTTCCTTTGTCCTTAGATTAATATCATATATTATTTAAATCTCACTTTTTTCTTAGATTACATGTTTTCAGTAATTAATTTGAAAGGATGTTTTCCTTTGATAAAAAAGGAGAAAGAAATAGGCTTTCGGGCTGAATGTGTTTGATTGCGATGAACATGATGAACTACGAGCGAGTTGTATTGTTTTGCTTCTTTCACATCGTTTTTCCAAACTTCCACATAAACGCTTGTTTTAAAAATATATACCATCGAAATATTACTGTATCTAACTCGTTCGTTATTACAATGTCGTGATGACATTTCAGTCGGCAGTTTCGAAGCATTCGTAACATCTCTGACAACGAATCTTATTTACTTGTATGACTAAACAGTTTTAATTAATTGTTTTAATTATAAAACTGAATCGGTCTAAAACTCAACAAGAATTAGACCGGAACGCGCGGGAACTTAGATGTCATAGGGTGTGTCATGCCTTTCATCATGAGCCATATTTTATTACTTTATAGTACTTTTATTTGAAACTCACGAGAACATAAAGTCACGTACAAGCTATACTTACATATACATTATTTGGATATATATCAAGTAAGAGTAATATCTAAAGAACCATATCAAATTAATCCAAATTATGTTAAATATATATTCAACGTTAATTTGAAACTACTCGCAATCAACTACTTTCTTGAACTTACCCACCAACTACGTAAACGTGACGTTCCGATGCCGCCACTCCGGCTCGTGACCTACGATGGAGAGTTGGTAGAAATGGCGCCCAGCGATCAGTGCGAGTGTTGTAATATTCACATTCATTGTGAATGGTAAACAATGAACCACCGCCTAAAATTAAAACACAGAGCATTAGTAGAAAGAAGAAGTGTGTGTGTTGGCCCAGCTCATAATCATCCAATGAATAATGCAAAAGTGGGTTGATACTGTTACCATTTATTATTGGATTCTATTTTATTCTAATCAAGAATAGAATACTCAGTATATAAATTTAACAATAATTTACCCTTCAGACAGCTGAAGAGTTACACTCTCCACCCCTTTGGAAGAAAAAATCGATTTATTGTTTTAAGTTTCTGATGCGCAATCATAAAAAAAAACCTCAGCAGAGAATTTAAAAAGAATTATTTTGCACTATACCAAAATGCGAAAAAATGTCAGATGCCCAATGAGACGATTTGTCATAACTTAAAGTTTGCAACCTATATATATCATGTAAATATAACAACGTGTTCTGTACAACTTACAAAGAGAATATCATCGGAGTTACTAAATGCACCGTCCTTATCACGATCAGCACCAGCATTAGAAGTTTACTTACCTTCACAGCTCAAGATTCGCTGAGATCCGCCAGGAGGCTTACAGCTGAAAAGTTTAATTGTCTGATGTGTGAGGTCATAAATAATATAGTCTTATAGGTACTGTTTGAAAGTTAATTTTAAGCGAAGGAATCGTTCAATGTCACATTTCTCTCTCAAGATCAAATGATGTTTTATGATTTAATTTGATATCATTAAAACAATTATTATGCAGTTTTCGTATCTTTAGATTCAAAATAAAGAAGCACCGAGTTCTAACGATTGTCGCGACATTTTTTTCCCGTCTTGTACGCCTGGCATGGCCTGGTGGCTAGAGCACTTGACTCGCAATCTCTTTCAGTCGTGAGAGCGTTATAATGTGACAGTCAATCCCACTATTCGTTGGTAAAGAGTAGTCCAAGAGTTAGCAGTAGGTGGCGATGACTAGCTGCTTTCCCTCGAATAGCTTTGAAATTCAAAAACAAACAAACAGTTCATTTTATATACAGAAACAGTCATACACTGAATGTATGGCAAACGTAAATTAAGCATATATTAAGGCTGGGTTCAGAACAAAGATTATGTGTGTCTTTTGTTTACCTTTTTTTTTCACAGACTACCGTTTATTAGTCTCTGTGTTGAGGAAAGTATATGAGATTTAAGGACAGTTACGTCAGTGACGCGTAATTTAAATATTATGACATATCTTTCTATTTATTATGAACATTCTATTCTTTTGGTTCGCTTTTTAGTTTAGTCATTTCTTTTCACTCATCTGGTTTGTTATACGTTTTTCTAGATTGGTGTTTGTTAGATCGCACACTGACTAACGAGCTAAGAAACGTTTTCCAGAGTTGCAGAGACGACATTACTGTGTTTAGTAAAATATAATGTCCAGTAACATCTTGATAATGTAAACCCTTGCCAGAAGCAGTTTATTTTAATTAGTACCTGCGCCGGCACAGTGGTATGTCTACGGATTTACAACGCTAGAAACCGGGTTTCGATACACGTCGTCGGCAAAGTACAGATAGCTCATTGTGCTTAACTATAAACAAACAAACTTAATGCCTGATACCTTTATCGAATCCATCCTACTACGTTTAAAAATATTTGTTTAAAGAATAATAATGTTTAAGGCCTGAAAACAGCTTCGTCGTATAACCTCGATCAACATTTGTAAGAGTAGCTTTTTTTTCCTAGATTGTTTTGAGAAGTTTCTGTGATTAGCATTCGCCATTTTTTGGATCTAGATTTGTTTGGTTTACTGTTTTGGAATTCTAACTTTATTGCTTGCCCCAGTCTCCCTTCTTGAAATACTAATGAAAATAATAACGTGTACAGGACAATATGTGTACTTTTAAGGTAATGTTTTCATGATATGGAAAAGTTTTATAAGGTTGACGAAAACGAAGGTATTTATACTTTTTATGTAAGACAAACTATCTTCCCTAATTTTGAACTACTGACCAGAGAGAAGACAGCCAGTCAGCAACACTCATGCTAAGGGAATACCAGCACTCTTATAACACATCCGTAGTCTAAAGTGCAAGGACTATTTTGTGATATCGCCACCTCCGAAATCTAAACCTCTATCACAGGGCCAACCCGTGCCCTGATGAAAACGTAACTGATGTTCCTACTAGCAAAACCTTAATTGTGAATGCAGTTAATCTTTGTTTTCTTTTTAATCAACCGGTTTTCTGTCACATTTGGAGGTTGGGCTGTGTAAACCGTGATAGTCATCTTTTGTTATGTTGCTTCCACGTAGAAGGAACATCATGTCTGGTGTTGACAATAGATACTCCCTGTTCATTAGATTTTTTTTAGATTGAATGGGTTCGTTCTACCAGTAGTCTAAGAATTATTATTTTATCTCAGCTGCATTTTTGTTTGAGGGAAGAAGAGGATCATATACAGGATTTTGAATAATTCATGATATGATATTTAATTATTTTGAAAGTAGTATTGTATTTTTCAACATTCTTTAAATAAACCATCAAACTCATGACAAGAATAAGTCGAGTAAAAGAGTGATTTCAATTACTTCAAACATACGAATATTAGTGACATGATTCACGCCAGAAACAAGTAATGAATTATACCGTACCGCGCTTCTAATCTCCCTGACAGCCATTACAAGTGTAAAAAATGTATGCACAAGTTCATTCTTCCTACTACTGTTTTAGATTGTTCGCAAAGTAACTGAAAACTATAAAATAATAATAACTGACATCATAACATCATGAATTTCATAACTTAGCTGTTGTCACTTTCTTTAAGGGAGGTAGAAAATTTTTTCAAATATATACATTTTTGGGGATCTGCTACTCTACATCTATGTTAATAATAGTAATATTATTTTAATATTAGTAATGAGTAATTCTATTTACATTACAAAGTTACGATAAAGGGCCTTTATTGTGCATTCTCAAATATCGTAATTATTGATTTATTTCTTTTGATTACAATTTTTGTATTACTTGTAAACTTATAAATTGAAGAATAAACCATATATATTTTAAAACATTGTACCATAACATGTTACAAATAAAAATATTGTTACGTGTCCGTTCGTTCGTTAATTTTCCGTAAATTCGTTCCGACGAAACTTTAGCGACACAAGTCCTTTCTTAAATAAAACTGGTTTATTCTTTCTGAATATAACTTTGCGATGCACTTAATTTCAACAGTCGCGCTATAACAAACGCTATAATTCAAACGAACGTCTCACGTGCTCAACAATATTCTCTCTCCGCAGTTCAATTACACATTGTTCCGTCACGTTGTGACCGTCTTATATATATAAGACTAACACATATCTAGTAAACGCTAGGGCATTCATGAAGAAACAGGATATTTCTAGAAGTCAATGACGTGTTACTAGGGTCACGTGACCCCGATGTCGTAACACTGCCTCTTCCTTAGTATTGTTCGTCCCGAACAATAGCCACTTACATTAAACCAATAACAATTAACAATAACTTAATTAAATATACAGAATTACAAACACAAAATTACAATTCAACAAAGTCTCTTAATTTTACCGGACGTATCTTCTTCTGTACTGGTCTCCGTCTCGTTGGCGTCTGCTTCATATGGGGTTCATCTACTTCAATCAGTGGTAGTAACTTCATCAAGAGCTTCACCGTTTCCTTTCTCAAAACTGAGTAGAGTTTCTTCTTCGACGGTGGCTTTTTCAGGTGACACGTCTTCAGCAGCGTCATTTGTTCTGTTGTTCACTTCGTCCCAACTGAAATGGCCTTGGACCGTGATAACGCCAAAGCCTGTTGGCATGCACCACTTTTGGCTTACCTCGCCGACCACATTTTATTCGGAAAGTCACGTCTAAGAGACGATCCACTATGTTATATAGGCCTTCCCATGGAGAAGACAACTTAGGAGACTTCCCTTTGGTCTTCCTGGGATTATACAACCACACCTTGTCTCCTGGTACAAAGCTGACTTCAATAGATTTCTTATCATTAGATAGCTTCATCGAATCAGCAGACGTTTTAAAGTTTGAACGATAACACTTTCACAAACTCTGACACATTCTCAGGCAATTTTTCATAAGGTGGGCGTCCTGTTAACCGAAGCTCCAAACATCAACTTTGCTGGAGTGTATCCAGTGGCTTCATGCTCTTCTGTCCTATAGACCATCAACAGTGGAGGGAGTAAGACATCCTAGTCATCTTGGCAGCTATTACAAAATTTTGCCAATTCCTGTCCCAGTGTCCAGTTG